GCTGTTGTCTAGTTGTTTGCCCTCTTGGTGGCTGCGGAGGGCCGTACCCGGGTGGCCCGTAGTACGCCATACGTGACTGTCTAGCAGAGATACATTAATTAACGATACAGGTGCGAGTGTGTGGGAATGTGTATGTATACTCTCCGCAATTGTAATCGACAATATGTATGTATCAAGTATTTACAAGCGCATATAACCTAAATACTCGTACATAACCTTCTATAATACAGAAGACAAGGAAATAGTGTACAATAATATGACTGTATGTAAATAGGTCATGATGTATATGCCTAATAGCCGCCTATATGATGGCAATATTGATTGTCGATGGACGGTTTCATTGGATATCATGCTGAGAATCCTGATCACCCAAATCTGGAATATCATCATTGCTTCCAATTCCAATTAAATTGGGCTCAATTGTCTTTTGGCAATACAAAAGCTGTTTACTGTGGCTTCTAAATTATTTAACCTTCTAGTATTGACTGTATATTTTACAATATTGTGATACTTCAATTCTTATTCAGTTATTAGCATTGAAAAGAACCAGTTGTTAGCATTGGAAACAACCCTCAAAAAGTGTTTGTTCTCATCATAAAATGGATGGTACTAAAATAATGAGTCAGTTCTGAATATTCAACAAAAATCGGTATGCATATTTTCTTCTGTATCATCATTCACCTCTGTGCTATAGACATACTTGCACATCCAGGCAATACAAAACAGGAAACTATATTTATATCAACCTGATTTCTATATTTTCTGAATTCAAAATCCAACTGGAATTCCGCTGTTTTCAAGAAGTAAAGGTTGACGAAATAGTAGTAGTACTGTCTTATATGTATTTAGGACAATCTGGCCTCTGCAGTCTGTACTCTGTAGTAGAAAATAGTCTGTATTTATTAAAAAAATACATATCACAACTTTTTGAAGCAAACGTCAGTACGTAGAAAAAATATTGGACAACTAACAAGGAATTTGTTCAAGTATATAAAAATCATTATTTATACCAATGGCGGGACACCAAACTGACCACAGTCAGTACTTGGTCAGTCACACAGGCCACACCGCCACAACACTGTATTTACCATTGAGGGAAAATACATTTTCACTGACTTGTTCTATGGGTTTTTGTAAATAAATATCACCCAGAGCAGGCTCTACTAAATAGTATTTATTAAGTTCATAGTAACCCCAGACCGCCAGGGGCCCCAGTCACAGTGTCACGGATCAATATGATGTAAATAATTTAAAAATAGACCTCTTCTCTTGTGGAGTGACCCATACTGCCCGTACAGCCTAAATAAAAAAATTAAAAAATTGGGGCATGCTCGCGTTGATTTGCAATTTTTTTTATCCACATTTTATCATGCCTCGTATATATTTATGTGTAGTATTTTTATTTCCAAATAAATATAGTAAAAATATTTATTTTTAGAACCGACCGGCGACCGCCTCAGCGCCCAGCGGCTCAGCCTCTCTCGTGTGTGGGTTTTCGGTTACAGTTTCGAGCCAAAACTCCAAAAATAACACACACAGCCAACAGATTGGACACGATACATCCCAGACAGCAAGTATTTTTAGCTTGACCTGGTGTAGGTTGTAGTTAGTCACAAACTAGTGTATGTAGAATACATACACGTAAGGTGCCGAAAAAAAGTGCTTATCAACTGAGGTGTAACCCACGCCAACAACAGAAACGAAAAAAGGTGTAAACGCGGTCGTGTATACTCTCCCATAGTATAGGTACGCATATATATATATATATGCTTGCTGTTGTAGGTAGATCGTTTGTACGCCGCCTGTGTACTTTACAAAGTATATCCAAGACTATTCTATCCAAGTTCTCATCTTCTTCATTGAAATCGAGACTTCACACAACGCAGACAAAGTCTCCTATCAACACACACATCCGGTCTATACATCACGGAAATACACGCACAAGCATTATGCCGGGCTACAGTCAAGCAAGGGTTTATGCTGATGCTAACGTCAACCGCCCTGAAGAATACTGGAACTACGAGGATGTCTCCATTGATTGGGGAACACCAGAAAAATACGAAATTGTGCGCAAAATAGGAAGGGGAAAGTATTCCGAAGTGTTTCAAGGTGTTAATGTTGCTGATAACGATTCTCTGTGCGTCATAAAGATCCTTAAGCCGGTAAAGAAGAAAAAGATCACACGAGAAGTTCTGATCTTACGGAACTTGATGGGCGGCAAGAATATAATCAATCTGCTAGACACAGTGAAAGATCCCCAGGTATGCGCATCTTCCCACGTACAAGAACTATTTAAATATATATACCTACATCCATACTTATATATACATATATATATA